GATTTGACATGCTTTGAGTCCCTGGGAAAGAGATTCACCGTATTCAATGAGAAGGCAAGTGATTATTGAAGTGTTTTTACGAATGGGTAAATTTCACTAACACTTAGCTATGTGTATATATTCACATAAAACAAAGTCATGCCAACATGTGAATGGAGGAATTGCTAACATACTTTCGATGCCTGTAAATGACCAGTGATTACAGAGTAACTTCAGAACCTTATTTCCTTTTAGGATAGACACTTATTTTATTCTTTAAAATACCAGGTATAAAGTTTAAAGTAAATACAAGCTTTGCTGAGATACCATCTGCTAGATTTAATTTTTACCACTGATCTAGACCTCTCTTGGGTTTTTGCATCCTATCATTTATGGGGCTAAATTTCATTCTTCAAATGGGAATGAGATAGATGGGAGGGAGGGGGACCATAAACAACTGCTTGACCAAACGTCTTCATTTCTGAAAGGTATGATCTTTAATAATTCCTGTTTGGGCAGAAGAGATGGAAAGAGAGCTTAGGCAAGAACAAGATCTGCATATGCTCTCCATCTGTTCCCTTAACGTTACTGATGTGCAGTCATTCATGAGAGCTGTGTCCTGCCATCTTTCAACCGCCCATCTGCTTCCTGGCCTAAGAGAGAGACCTGTGACATCACAGAGGAGCACAGTCACCCTTCTGTTCCTTCCGCTGAAACACACTGGTTTCTGATTCACTCACAGACTCCCTGGTGTCAACGTCTGGAACAGAAATAATGCAGTCGGGAGTCAGTGACGAGCGTCCTGCTCTATGAAGCAGGGAGGAAGAGAAAATCCTCAGGCCATCCACAGCCATTCAAAGGAAATGAGCACCAGGAGACCTCTTGATCACGGGATATGCCAATTCTCCCAGGAACCCAGCTGAGCATTCCCGCTAGGAGTTTCTGCAAACCCATTCTTCATTCTAGATTAGACTTAGTACTGACTGGCAGCCAGAATGGCAACTAGGCTTCGTTTATACGCCAAGTCCACTAGATGAGTCAGGTCTGTCTGGAACTCTGTATTGAGAAGTCTGAGACAGGACTGGCCACGCACACACATACATGACACACTTGCATTCCATGACTTGGGTGTTATCACTGAGAAGTTCCTCAGGTGACCATTTTATGGCTAATAACACAGCAAGACGTCATTAGTTCATCTACTAATCCCAGCATTTTGAGATCAGTGACTGGCATTATTGTGCCCAAATCACATTTTTGATTACTTACTGTACGTAGTTATTCCTAAAATATAGCACAATATTGAAAAAAGGGAAGGAGTGACTAATAGGGTTTATACGGAAGCTCTTTTAATACTTGCAATAAGAAATGTTATGAATCTGTACTTACAGGATCCCCTCCAGAGGCAAAGGAAATAGACTGCATATGATGATTTGCAATAATCTGAAAAACATAAAACGAATTAAACAATGTATAATACTAGAAATTAATGATCTATTTCAGTTATTTACAGCCTGCCAGTAAGGGGCATATGTTTGTTTCGTTTGCTTCCCTTTGAGCACCACGCCACCCACATTCTTATAAGGAGCATACTGAGATCATGCCCCCCCCACTGCCTTGCCCTTCCCACCTAGTTAACAGACGACCCAGGGCTAGCCAATCAAAACATGTCATCCCTCCAGATGTTGCCGGGCCAGTCTCTGGCTTGGGAAAGGACTTGAGATGGACAATAAGAAACACAGCAGCTCTTTCTAACATGAAGGCCCATGTAAGCCCTGAGCTCCTAGAGGCCTCCTTTGGTTACCCTACAGAAAAGGACTGTTGCAAACTAAAGCTGTCCCTCCGGAGAAGGTCGGAGC